ACACATATATATATATATATATATATATATATATATATATATATATATATATATATATATATAATTATATTAATAGTGTTATTATTATTATTATTATGTAATGCCTGAATGCCTGATGTTAACTATTATTATTATTGATAATCATAATTAATATTAATATTAACAGTTATATTATTCTGTGTCAGGTCATAGAAATGTTTCTTTTATATTGTTTCTTAACAATAATCCTGTTAAAATAACCCAAGCCAAAATGTGTAACTATTATTATTATTATTATTATTATTATGTAATGCCTGATATGAACTATTATAATTAATAATAATAATAATAATAAGTATTATTATTATTAAAATATTAACAGTTATATTAATCTGTCAAGTCATAGAAATGTTTCTTTTATATGTAATATTTCTTATATTCTGTGAGGAACTTGTTGAAATAACCCAAGCCCAAGTTTTCAGCAGCATTAATGCGTTGTCTCTGTCTTGTCTCCTGGACAGATAACCTGAATTGCTTTTAAATGAACTTTTGATAAAGTCAGAGAGCAATCGTTGTATTTGATAACCAAAGTCAGCACTCCATACACAACTCTATTTGATGCGTTTTCCATTTTCTTTTATCCACATCATTAACGTGTGCATTTATTCAGCTGCATCAGTCATTCCTCGTGGGAGCTTTATCCTCCACCACTGTTTGTTTTCTGGAGGTGAAGCCTTCAATCTGATGTTATTCAACAATAAATGGCTTTTAAAATTCATTTCCAGCTGCAGAGCTGTGCGTAAGCATCCTGTAATTAAGCTGAAAATGTCTCTGCTGCTGTACAGCGAATTGAGGAGATGCTGATGATGAGAGGTCAAAGGTCACGTGCGTACAGATGACCTGAGAAGCTGCCCTTCCACCTGAGCATGTTTCTTCAGATGAAAATTAAATATTAACTCCAGGCTGGAGTTTCTTTGCCCATGCCTGTTTTTCTTTTGCAATTGGTTAGAGAGAATTGTGGGCTTTTTTGTGTTCAGACTGAAAGTGAAATGTTCGCGCTGTCTGCTGCTGTCCTGGATCAATACTGCAAATTTCCCATAACAATCAGGATCCTTCTGTCAGATACTATAACAATCAAAGGAATAGTTTGCCCAGAATGCATTTTCTGTCATTATTTACATGCAGTTTTTTACTCCAAAAATGACCAAAATGCACCATAAACACACCATAATGCATTATATTCCAAGTCTTCTGAGCTCATACAGTAACTTTGTTTGAGGAGCATATAGAAATTTAAGCCATAAAAATAAGCATTTGCTTTTTAATTACACGTTAAGTTCTGTCTGAAGGCTTTAGATTTGAAACCCTCTGGTGCTTCCTGTGTGGTGGTCAAAAAATGACCTTTTTTTTAATTGTTTCAATTACATTAATGTACTATACATTCTATGATTTTTATTTATTTAATATTTTGTATTTTTAAGGGATTTTATGGTACTAAATTATATTTATGCAGTGCTTGTAATCCATGTATTACCTTTTAACCATTTTTTGAGCATAGACCTAAAAAAATTTAATTTCCAACTTAAACTGTCGTAAATCTTCAATGCTTTTGAAACACAGACTTATGTTTGATCTCTTTTTAAAGAAGACGCTTGACAGATTACTTCTGAAATGAAAAAAGTTTTAAGTTTATTGTTATGAAACATGCACAAAAATACTATTTTCAAATGTCATATGAAATATATATTTTCCAAAGCATGTTTTACTCTAAAACTGCAAGAAAATTAAAGCCATAAATCTAAACAAGTTGTGTTTCGAATTTAAGTTTGACATCTCAAAAAAATGAGCTTTCAGGAAGATTTTCTTTTGGCGCGGTACCAAATATTTCCACTAGGTGAAATTGTTTTCACTTTCATTTCCAATGCACTCATTTTTGACTGCAAGGAGAGCAAGTGTGACTATTTTTTTCAGGACCGTTTAACCATTTCAAATAAATCAAGATATTTGTTTATTTATTCATTTGTTTGTTTATTTATTTATTTTGTCCACATATCAAGTCCCAAAAAGTTTGCCAAGTTTCATACGATTCCGATTGTCATGAATCCGGTCCGTGGCCTTCCGGCCGAGGTCATTCTACCATTACATTGACTCTCACATTACACAGACTGTTACATGTCACTCCGGACTACAGTTCCCATCATCCATTGCACTTACACAGCTGAATTCACTGATCACACAGCCGTCACTAATCACACGCTCACCTGAGAGCCATTACTCACTCTATTTAACACTCTCTCAGTTCCTGTTCAGATTGCCGTGTATTGTTCTGCGTTTATCACTCATCTAGCGATAGCTGCATTACCGAGCCTGGTGTCTTGTTTTCCTTGTTTTCTTCGTCTTGCCTTGTCTGTTTCTCCGTGTTCTGATCACTGGCTGTGTACCTGGATTATCCCTCGAGTCTCGCCCAATTGGATACTGTTCGCCCCTGCCTGGACCTTTGCCTTGTACCTGGATTATCCCTCTTGCCTTGCCATCAATATACCTGTTTGCCATTTTCTGACCTATGCCTGTTTTTGACCACGTCTCTGTTAATAAAGCCTTGCAGATGGATCCGCACGCTTCCTGTGTTCCCTCCGTAACACAGATGGCGTAAAAAAATTATTAAAAAAATAAATAAATACATTTTAATTGTTCAAAAATGACTGAAGAGCACCAGAGGGTTAATGTACGCTGAAAAAAAAGTATTTGTCAAAGATGTAAATAAAGCATAAGTAAGATTATTAGAGTATGTTTTACAAGAAAATACTATTTCAGTCTTTCTACTTAAAATTTCACGTTTAATTCAATGTTACTTGACACTTCTTTGTCATTATTTGTGAAATTTATTAGCCATTTCTAAGTGAAAATAGTTTCAAAGTAAATCCTTAACCAATTTTTTTTTCAGTGTATTGCATAAGTTATATGCTTTACTTTTATGATGCTTTTTTATCATTTTGGAGCCTTAAAGCATCCAATTCATTTCGACTTTATTTTATAAAAATCTTTCAAAACATCTCATTTTGTGCTTCATGGAAGAAAGAAATGCATGCATCTGGAATGATATGAGGGTGAGGAATTAATGACAAGTTTCATTTTTGGTGGCACTGTTAGTGCGTCATACTCTGGCAGGTGAAGCCTCACAGATGGGATTCTGATGGAGTCGGTGTCTCCAGCTATGGGTCATTAGTGATCTCTCTGACACGAGTGCAGGGGGCCAATCAGGTTGCTCTTCTCCTGTCCTTCTCATCTCAGCCCTCGTTTCACGCTGCACAAATGCATTAAGCAGGAGATGTGCTGCCCCCGTTATAGCAGAGGGCACCGCATGTCTCTCTAGAGCCCACTGCTTCTGAGGAGGCTGAAGTTTGACCCTTCTGCTGGTGACACAAACTCTGCTCTCAGTGGCCATCCACAAACTCAAACTTGTTTTTAGGGTTAGGAAGAAAACGTGTGTGTATAATGTTTCTCTCCATATATACAGTGGGTACGGAAAGTATTCAGACCCCCTTAAATTTTTCACTCTTTGTTATATTGCAGCCATTTGCTAAAATCATTTAAGTAAATTTTTTTTCCTCATTAATGTACATGCTGCAAACGTGTAGATTATGAGCATTGAGGAAGCGTGTGCATGCGTGATTGTGAAGAAGCACCTTTATAGATGTGTATGCTACATTGCAGGATTAGTTAACACTATGTGATATATACTGTATCACTATCACTATTAGCACTATGCTCTTCTGTTTTGTCTTTCAGATATTTAAGCAGAAGGTGATGGAACTGGGCGAGAAGTTGTTACCCGCCTTCAACACGCCCACCGGCATTCCCAGAGGAGTCATTAACCTGGGCAGGTGAGCATCTGACGCAGCTCCTAGTGTCCCGTCTGCTGGCATGACGCATCCATTCACAAAGCCATATGTCTCAAATATCTTTTTTTGCTTTCTGAGAGAAAGAGATGCTTTCTGGCACTCCTGCCGCCCACCTGGCTTCCATTAGCCACCAGCTCGCTCTGACAGCTGCAGGCAAATTTAATTAACTGATTCTCACGCTAATTCCAGTTAGATGAGTAACAGGAGCCAGTCCTACAGATGGGCTGGGAGACAGAGGGCTCCGGTGTGGCACTCAGGTTAGTCAGGATGGCACTGAACGAACACACGTCACTGTGAATTTGCTCTATTATGACGTTTACACTACCGGTCAGTGTACAAGACTCTTCTGCTCACAGACGCTGCATTTATTTGATCAAAAATTCAGTAAAAACTATAAAAATGTGAAATATTATTATAATTTAAAATAAGTGTTTTCTATGCGAGTATATTGTAAACTGTAATTTATTTCTGTGATGCGCAGCTGAATTTTCAGCATCATTTCTCCAGTCTTCAGTGTCACGTGATCTTCAGAAATCATTCTAATATGCTGATTTGCTGCTCGAGAAACATTTCTGATTATTATCAATGTTGAAAACAGTTGTGCTGCTTCATGCTTTTGTGGAAACTGTGATACTTTTGAATTCAAAATATTTTTTTAAAGAAATCAATAGTTCCAAATGATCCAAAGTAACAGTAAAGACATTTATAGTGTTACAAAAGATTTCTACTCATCAAAGAATCTTGAAAAATAAAATGCATAATTTCCACAAAAACATGATGCAGCACAACTGTTTTCAACATTTATTATAATCAGAAATGTTTCTTGAGCGGAGGAGCGGAGGAGGGGGAAGAGAGGAGACAGACAGCACACAGCTTCGGGTTCAGACAGTTTCATTTCGCTCCCATCGAGCTAAAAACACAAATAAATGCACAGCCATTTGCACTCCGTATCGAAAACATATATATGAACATGCTGTTGCACCTTTGAACATGCTGGGTTGTGTCACGAAGCTGTAAAAACACTCATTAAGTGATTGAATCGCGTTTGTGCCGAACTCTTATTACAAAGCAAAAACAAACGCTCTCCTTCTTTCGATCCATGAACGTTTCTCTCAGTTAATCTACGCGATCTCACAGTCTGAAACGTCTGTCATAGCAAATCAACACATGCTGTTGTGAATAATTAAGCGAAGCTTCTTCTCATAGGATAAGAACACGCAGTCTTGTGAATAATTTAATAGACACCGACGCGTCATCGATGTACTATAGTCCATTGCCACGTCACAAATTGTGACGTCAACACGATGTCGATTTTAAACCCGGAAGATGAAAATTTTCTCAAACAGTTAAAATTATTGGATGCTAACATTGTCTTCTATGATGTGCAACACAAACACCTCTGCTAAAATCTCGGGAAAAAGTAGTCTGGGGTTTCATGGCCCTTTAAAATCAAGCATTTACATTTTTGGAATATTCTTTTAACATAAGCATCTGCTTAGCTTCTGTGTTTTAATACCAACAAAGAATGATTAAATGGGCTTCAAGTCATTTCTCCCACCAGTGAACTCTATCTGCCTTTTGTTTAACAAACAGTTAGCTGTTTTGTGCCGGTTTCGGTTAGTTTTTCCGACAAAAGTTTTCTCACTTTCCTCTTCCTCCCGAGACATCGGCGCTATTGATCGTTCCTTCAGAAGGGAAGCGGTGCGTGGCGCGCTCTCACAATAAGAAGCAGACACAAATAATCTTGTGAATTAGTTCCACAGTTTCACCGAACGAATCCCGAAGCCCCAAATCTGGAGCGGTTCATTTCAGAGTTCATTCGCTCTCTTTCCATGTTTCTCTCTTCAGGTTATTTCTACCATTTGGCAGGGGTGAGACCTGCAGCGTAAACAAGAGCAGAAACGCCTCCGTTCTGAACAACAGATGAAATTTGAATGATATTTAATCAAAACAAAGGATAAAGTGCTTTGGAAGTACTTTTCAAACTGCTCTTAAAATATTTACATAGTTGCATACAGATAAATACACCAGAAAAAAACTTTTTAATCAGTATTTTTGTCTTTTTTTGAGTAAAAATAACTAAACATCCTCAAAAGATCAATTTGCACGTGAAGCAAAAATTGGTAGCATAAATCTCATATTTTCATGCACACCAACAAATACACTACAAATGTATATTTTTAATCAGTATTTTTGTTGTTTTCCAGTAAAAATATAAAAAATCCTCAATACTCAAAAAAATACTCAAGAAGCAAAACTTTGTTGCATAAACCTCAGTATATGTTGTTGCATACAGACCAGAGATATTATAGTTAACTAAACATTTCTCATTTTATTTTTACTTAATGTACTAAAATATTTAAAACTGGGGGGAAAAAATTATAAAAACTGTAAAGACATACATATATTGAAAAAAAAACTATCAAGATGACAAAAATGCACAATGAAATGACTAAAACATTAAAATTTAAATATAAACTATAATAGTATCTAAAATAACTCTGATACAGACAAATACACTACAGAAAATATTTCTGTCTTGTTTCACAGTACAAATAAACAATTCCAGAGGAGGAAGGAAAATAAACTGAAATCCATTCCAAACATATTTTCCATGAACAATAATCAGTGTTCGAACTATACCGTGGACTTTGGGGGAGCCCACTTGTTTTTTTTTTTATAACGGGGGGGTAGTTCGCACCCTGACAATAATAATGAATAATATATTGTGCGGTTTTGCTGTTTGTCTTATTTTAACAACGTTAAAAATGACTGATTAAGAAAAAATATTGCGTTTTTCACCAATGCATATTTAACACCTTAAATGAGTGCATGTTAGTTTTTGCTGCTGGCTTGATGATAATTGTTTCCTGTGTAAATGCATCTTTTGCTGGTATGCAGGTCAAATCTGTGTAACCTTTATGGTAGAAAACTTCTTTGGATTTTTTTGTGCACACCATGTTCCTAGGTGGAAAAAAATATTTTAAACCTGTATTTTTATGGTTGTTCTTCAGTAGAATCATTAATGGCATCATTATGGATTTGGCATTGTGTAACACTCTCATGTGGGATGAAGCGAAGGCTTTTAGCACGTCTGTGTTAAACTGTTTGCACAGTGAATAATCAGCGCCCTGGCATCCGCTCTGCATGGTTTGGTGCGGTGTTGCCATGGCTCCAGTTAGCCGCGGTGTGGTCTGTGGTGGGTGGCGGTGTTCACGGTGCTGCTCTGCTCTCTGTTGCAGTGGCACCAGCTGGAGTTGGGGCTGGGCTTCGGCTGGAAGCAGCATCCTGGCCGAGTTCGGTACGCTGCACCTGGAGTTCGTTCACCTGTCCGAACTGTCCAGAAACCCCGTGTTCACTGAGAAGGCAAGAGTCGTTTACGTCCTGCTGATTTACTCTTAGAGGATGGGATACGGGCTGTGAATGAACAGTGTGATTTTGTGTTTTTCTTTAGGTGATGAACATCCGAAAGCTGCTGAACAAAATCGAGAAGCCTCACGGCCTGTATCCTAACTTCCTGAGTCCCGTCAGTGGCAATTGGGTACAGCGTAAGTAACATCTCAGTGGTTTCAGATACATTTACATTTAGCAGATGCTCTTAGAGCAATACAAGATTAGTACCAGCAAAAACATGCAAAATAAATAGAATGCAAATTTGAGGTGAATTTAATGACCGCATTATCAAAATAGCCAAAATATTTAATACATAAAAGTGCAAGGTGTGAAAGATGATATCATAATTGCTAATGACGGCACATATAATAATATATGTATGTGGGCCTTCCCATCAGTCAACCCTAAACCCTTTAATCATTGAGACTCTGGAAACACAAATATTTCCAAATATTCAAATGTGTTTCTAGAATCACACGGTCTGTGCACATCTGGGACAATATGCTTAAACAACATAAAAGTGTGAAATCATTTTTTGGTTTAATGTCAGATGCTTTTCCATCCTCATAAAGTTTGCAAAACAAAATGAATCCCAGTGACGAACAGATTAAAAAACATCATGTAAAGATGTATTATTTTGTTGTGTTTCGCATGTTCATTGTATAATTGTCTTCAAAGCTGCTTTCTATACTTTAAGCAGACTGAAATAGAATTAATTTCGTGAAGAGCATAAATTCACTGGTGGACGTTAAAACTTTGGACTGGTGGTGTAAATACATTTATTTTGTTATTTCTGCTCTGCTCCGGGTCCTGAGAGCGGCTCTCACAAGCGCCGTCTTTGAGCTTCACAATGCAGTTATTCTGGCATGCACGACATCGATTGAGCCAGCGCGGCTCTCCTGTCAAGCAGGGACGTGAGCCCACAGCCAAGAGTTATTAAAATGATAATAAATCCCATTACCTTTTGGAAATTGAATCTTTCAGATTCACCTGAAAAACAGGAGAAACATTTTTTTCCTCTTGAACGGCCTGAATGTAATCTGCGACTGCAGTGTTAATTGGTGCAGCATGGGAACGGCTAATGAGTGTCAGCGATAGTGATGAGAGCGTCAACAGAGCGAAGGGCGGATACCAACATCCCAGCCATTGTGTGTGTTGATTCCGATTATAGTACCCGGATCATCCGTGAACCGAACACAATAAACCGTGTGCATATCAATAGAAAGCATTTGCTTATGCTTCTGGTTCAGAGATAAACAGGATGAATTTCATGAAACCTACTGAGATCATCAGGGTGTGAATTACCCCCCCCCTAGCCTAGACATAATATGTGACCCTGGAGCACAAAAGCAGTGTTAAGTCGCGGGTCTGTGAGAGCCAGAAATCTTGCTTGTTTGTAGGTGACCAAATACTTATTTTCCCGAGGAATTTACCAATTAATTCTTTAAAAATCCTACAATGTGATTTTCTGGATTTTTTTTTCTCATTTTGTCTCTCATAGTTGAGGTATACCTATGATGAAAATTACAGGCCTCTCTCATCTTTTTAAGTGGGAGAACTTGCACAATTGGTGGCTGACTAAATACTTTTTTGCCCCACTGTATAACAACCCAGCCACAACACATAATTGCGAATAACATGCCTTACCTTAACACAGAATCGACCACAGAGTCCAGTGTTTATATTTTTTCTACGAATCTTTGAGTTAACATGTACTAAACATGAGTGGAATTTGCACCGCAGCGCCCCACACCTTGATGCTCATGACAAGAATAGCATGTATAGTTATCTTTATTGAAGTGAATTAGGTTTAAATCGCCGCCATGCTTGAATGAATGATATTTTTGCAATTTTACACATAATAATCCACGATGATCACATTACACCAAACTGAAATTGCACGTCAAAATAACACATTGTCAATATTTTTTGAGACCCCCCAAAATTTCACAAATCACGTTTTCAGGGGAGCCCAGGTCTTATTAAGGGGAGCCGAGCTCCCCGGTAGTTCGCACCCTGACAATAATAATGAATAATATATTGTGCGGTTTTGCTGTTTGTCTTATTTTAACAACGTTAAAAATGACTGATTAAGAAAAAATATTGCGTTTTTCACCAATGCATATTTAACACCTTAAATGAGTGCATGTTAGTTTTTGCTGCTGGCTTGATGATAATTGTTTCCTGTGTAAATGCATCTTTTGCTGGTATGCAGGTCAAATCTGTGTAACCTTTATGGTAGAAAACTTCTTTGGATTTTTTTGTGCACACCATGTTCCTAGGTGGAAAAAAATATTTTAAACCTGTATTTTTATGGTTGTTCTTCAGTAGAATCATTAATGGCATCATTATGGATTTGGCATTGTGTAACACTCTCATGTGGGATGAAGCGAAGGCTTTTAGCACGTCTGTGTTAAACTGTTTGCACAGTGAATAATCAGCGCCCTGGCATCCGCTCTGCATGGTTTGGTGCGGTGTTGCCATGGCTCCAGTTAGCCGCGGTGTGGTCTGTGGTGGGTGGCGGTGTTCACGGTGCTGCTCTGCTCTCTGTTGCAGTGGCACCAGCTGGAGTTGGGGCTGGGCTTCGGCTGGAAGCAGCATCCTGGCCGAGTTCGGTACGCTGCACCTGGAGTTCGTTCACCTGTCCGAACTGTCCAGAAACCCCGTGTTCACTGAGAAGGCAAGAGTCGTTTACGTCCTGCTGATTTACTCTTAGAGGATGGGATACGGGCTGTGAATGAACAGTGTGATTTTGTGTTTTTCTTTAGGTGATGAACATCCGAAAGCTGCTGAACAAAATCGAGAAGCCTCACGGCCTGTATCCTAACTTCCTGAGTCCCGTCAGTGGCAATTGGGTACAGCGTAAGTAACATCTCAGTGGTTTCAGATACATTTACATTTAGCAGATGCTCTTAGAGCAATACAAGATTAGTACCAGCAAAAACATGCAAAATAAATAGAATGCAAATTTGAGGTGAATTTAATGACCGCATTATCAAAATAGCCAAAATATTTAATACATAAAAGTGCAAGGTGTGAAAGATGATATCATAATTGCTAATGACGGCACATATAATAATATATGTATGTGGGCCTTCCCATCAGTCAACCCTAAACCCTTTAATCATTGAGACTCTGGAAACACAAATATTTCCAAATATTCAAATGTGTTTCTAGAATCACACGGTCTGTGCACATCTGGGACAATATGCTTAAACAACATAAAAGTGTGAAATCATTTTTTGGTTTAATGTCAGATGCTTTTCCATCCTCATAAAGTTTGCAAAACAAAATGAATCCCAGTGACGAACAGATTAAAAAACATCATGTAAAGATGTATTATTTTGTTGTGTTTCGCATGTTCATTGTATAATTGTCTTCAAAGCTGCTTTCTATACTTTAAGCAGACTGAAATAGAATTAATTTCGTGAAGAGCATAAATTCACTGGTGGACGTTAAAACTTTGGACTGGTGGTGTAAATACATTTATTTTGTTATTTCTGCTCTGCTCCGGGTCCTGAGAGCGGCTCTCACAAGCGCCGTCTTTGAGCTTCACAATGCAGTTATTCTGGCATGCACGACATCGATTGAGCCAGCGCGGCTCTCCTGTCAAGCAGGGACGTGAGCCCACAGCCAAGAGTTATTAAAATGATAATAAATCCCATTACCTTTTGGAAATTGAATCTTTCAGATTCACCTGAAAAACAGGAGAAACATTTTTTTCCTCTTGAACGGCCTGAATGTAATCTGCGACTGCAGTGTTAATTGGTGCAGCATGGGAACGGCTAATGAGTGTCAGCGATAGTGATGAGAGCGTCAACAGAGCGAAGGGCGGATACCAACATCCCAGCCATTGTGTGTGTTGATTCCGATTATAGTACCCGGATCATCCGTGAACCGAACACAATAAACCGTGTGCATATCAATAGAAAGCATTTGCTTATGCTTCTGGTTCAGAGATAAACAGGATGAATTTCATGAAACCTACTGAGATCATCAGGGTGTGAATTACCCCCCCCCTAGCCTAGACATAATATGTGACCCTGGAGCACAAAAGCAGTGTTAAGTCGCGGGGGGATATTTGTAGCAATAGCCAACAATACATTGTATGTGTCAAAATTATCCATTTTTCTTTTATGCCAAAAATCATTAGGATATTAAGTAAATATCATGTTCCATGAAGATATTTTGTAAATTTCTTACCGTAAATCTATCAAACATTTAGTATCATTAGTAATATGCATTGCTAAGAACTTAATTTGAACAACTTTAAAAGCGATTTTCTCAATATTTAGATTTTTAGCACCCTCAGATTCCAGATTTTCAAATAGTTATATCTCAGCCAAATATTGTCCTATCCTAACAAACCATGCATCAATGGAAAGCTTATTTATTCATCCATTTAAAATAATTGACCGGTTTTGTGCTCCATGGTCACAATTGTGGATTTACTTGTAAATATTAACTCCTTCCCTGCCAAACACAGAATTTTTCCTGGTTTCTGTGTTTTCACTGTTATACGCTCGGGGGCGCTATTACACATCTCCTGAATGAGTCCAGATTCTCCCGATCAAAAACACAGGCGAGGAAGATGCAGGAACAAGCATATGTGAGCAGATGCATATGAAAAATATTGCAATCATCAACAATAAACAGCATATAAATTTGCTAATGTTAGCGAGTGAAATGTCGATCCCGGAAGTGGTAAATATGGTAATATTACAATAACATCTGTCATCGATCTTGCATTATCTGATCACTTCTGTGTCTTCTTTAACAGTATTGATAATTCTGTGACAAATGCAGCCGAAAGTATTGTTAAAAAACGTTATATTACCTCTGAAGTATAGCCGAAAATCTGACTTGTGAAAGGAACATTTTACCATCATCCTGTGATGACTTAATGAATTTAAAAATAGAATATAACAGCTCTTGCTGCAGTTGCTCCACTTAAAACTAAAAAGTTAACTACAAAACAGATAATTCCTCAGAAGACAAATCAGACTGAGACTTAAAAGAGACAGTAGAAGTGCTGAACGAAGATGGCGTAAAACAAAATTAGAAATACGTGTTAATATGCTCATTGAAAATCTTAAAACTTACAATAAACAAATCCACAGAATGCGGCAAGCCTGTTTCTCAAATCGTATTAATATGAATAACCCCTGATTATTTTATATATATATATATATATATATATATATATATATATATATAAATTAATTAACTATAATAAATTATATTTAATACTTTTAATTATAATAAATTATATATAAGATTTATTATAATTTAAATACGAATTATTAGGTTATTAAAAATATGAAGTACTATAAATATAATATATTTATATTTGATACAGTTTATATAGTTCTTTAAATAATATAATAAATATGAAATACCATATTTATATAATGTTTTTGAGTACAGTTTTCTTTTCTGTGTTGATGTATTTCCTGTTAAAATCTTATTGTCCGTGAAATGACTTCATTTTCTTCATTCAGAATATTTTTTGTTATGATTTTAGGGTCAAATGCACATGTTTTCCTTGTTTTTTTTCAAGGTCCTGCGCATGTTTTCTTGTGGTTAATTTGATGTGTGTGATTCAGAGTTAGTTGTAGACATGATTTTCCTCTGGTTTTCTCAGATCACGTGTCTATCGGAGGTCTTGGGGACAGTTTCTACGAGTACCTGATCAAATCCTACCTGATGTCAGAGAAGACGGATCAGGAGGCCCAGAAGATGTACTACAGCGCCATGGAGGTTCGCAAACATCGTCAATACACTATTTATTGTATGCTTGTGCCATTTCATTTTCTTGCAATTTAGTTGCACATGCAATTTCTGGTCTTCAGTATGTTCAGTGAAAAATAAAGAAATAGAAATGAGTGTCTGTACCGGCAGTAAGCGTGTAAAATAGATTGCACGCTTTAATTTAAACTTTATTAGATTAGTTTAAGATTAGATTCGCCTCGCGCTCATAATGATCCAAGAGGAGAAATATAACAGAGAAAGCGAACACTTTCTCACTTATTCTCACTTAATTAGCATATTAGCTTTTTCATTACACAATGTTTCCCTTGAAGAATGAGATCTGCCAAGATATTAATTACATTTATAATCAGGAGAGGCCAATTTCATCAGCCTAATGTTAAAACATCAAACATGTTATCAAATATCCAGTACTTTGTGCAATACTTATGATTAGTGTGAGTGAGTTAATAAGTTGATGTGAAATGTTTGCAGCCCATATAATGTTTGATATTTGTCTCGATAGTCATGCATTCGCTCTGATTTTGATTTCACGTTGACTTTAAGTGGGTTGTTTTCATTTGATGATGCAAAAATGCAGAAAACTGGTGATGCAAGCAAAGAAAAAGCATCTGAACGAGTTTTGTGTGGGGCTCACAGAGCAAAAGCAAACGATGAGTCATTCGCTATTGATCGTCATGATGGCTTACGCTGTTTTCTGCTTCTCTAAAGAGCTGAAGCCATAAAAACGCAGGAGAAGAGACTCTGACTCTGAGATGTTTTCTCGTAAAGTCTTTGGCAGATTTATACACCTTCACGTCTCAAAGTCCCGATAGAATCTCAGTGAGGCTTGACTTCAATTCTCCACGCTGCATGCTGTCTTATATTATACATAAAACATTTCATGCATAAATGTCGGCTTCTACGGCAATGTGTGCACACCGTCCTGCTTTTATATGTGCTTTATTGAAATCCAGCGTCGCCTTGATTTCAAAGCACTTTACAAATCTAATGGATGTTTCTTCACTCTCGCACAAAACACGTCCATCCTTCTGTTTCTCATAGCAAGCACGTTCGGCTGCGATTAATAGCTGCATTATCTTCAGCGTGCATGAAAATCTAATGCTCCATCACTCAAATATGCTTTTCAGAAAGAGCTGGTAGCTGAAATTCACCACGACACTGTAAAGGATTATTTTTTTTGAAGTTGAAAATAAAACAAAGTATGTTTTACAAAAAATACAAAAATGTCAGTCTTTGCACTTCAAGATGTATCTTTAGAAATGTTTTAAAGTATTAATTAATTGAAGTAAAGCTGAAATAAAATAGAAAAATTTTATGAAAATAGAAATGTTGCCTTGGCAGCTAACTAAAATAATAAGTTCAAGTGCTAAAATTACTAAAATTGAATTACTAAAACTAAAAGTAATTAATTAGAAAGATTGCAAAAGCACGTGATAAAATTACAAAAAATTACACTAAATTGAAAAAAAAAATAAGAATAAAAGCTCATTTAAAATTTTTATAAATAATATAACAGTATATAAATAATGTTAAATGGAGGGTGTTGCAGTTTAGTTAGTAAATGATTTGTCTCTAACAAGAAGTTGTAAATAAATCAAAAAGTATGATTTACAAGAAAAAAAACTATTTCTGTCTTTCTACTTCAAAATTTCTTTTCGATTAAAACTATTAAAACTTTTTTTTCCCGTTAATTGATGTAAATCTGGAATAAAATTAAATATAAATATTAGATGAAAAACCTAAACTTAAATTATAATTGTTGCCTGGGCAACTAGCTAAAATAAATATGTTGAAGTATTAAAATTACTAAAGCAGAAATAAAAATAAAATTAGAGCTATATAGAAAAAACTCAAAACAACTCAGGCAAAAACTTAAAAACAAACTTAAACTAAATTGAAAATATAATAATAAAAGCTAATTTAAAATATTGTTTAATACTTTAAAAGTGTACAAATAATGTATAAATAATGTTAAACGAGGAGGTTACAGTTTAGTAAGTGATTTGACTTACAAAAAAGATTATTTTTTGAAGTTGTAAGTAAAACAAGTTTGTGTTTTACAACAAAATACTATTTCAATGTTTCTACTTCAGAATTTCTGTTTTATGAAAAATGTGTTAATTGAAGCTAATAAAATAAAATATATTAGATGAAAAACTTTGCTTGGCAACTAACTAAAATAAGTTGAAGTACTAAACTTACTAAAACTGAATCTAATAATAAAAGTTAATTTAAAATATTAATAATACTATAACAGTATATAAATAATGTTAAATGCAGGGTGTTGCAGTTTGAATTTTTATTATTATTATTATTATTATTATTATTAAAGTTGTATATACATCAAAAAGTATGATTTACAAGAAAATACTATTTCTGTCTTTCTAAAAATTCAATTTTATTAAAACTTTTAAAAAATCATTAATTGAAGCTAGAATAAAATAAAATGTATTAAATGGAAAATCTTAAGCTTAAAAAACAAAACAAAATGAAAATTAGAAATGTTGCCTTAGCACCGTATGTTGAAGTACTAAAATTATTAAAACTGTAATAAAAATAAACCAAAGCTGTATAGAAATATGAATAGCTAATAAAAACGGCAAAAGCACATACAATTACAAAAACGTATTTGTTTGCTTGTTTGTTTGTTCTTGCTAAATTACTAAAGCTACACTGAAAATCTCAGCCAGCCAATTTAAAATATTGATCAATATTACAGTATATAAATGTTTACAGTATAATGTACAGTATAGCATATTACAGTGATTAAGTGATTTGACTCCAGAAAAACTGATTATTTTTTTGAAGTTGTAAATAAAACAAAGTATGTTTTACACGAAAATACTGTCAGTCTTTCTCCTTCACAAATTCACGTTTAATTCAGTGTGTTACTTGCTGTTTCTTTGTAATTATTTGTGAAATATGTTAGCAATTTCTGAGTGAAAATTGTTTCAAAGTAAATCCTACAGCAGTTTTTTCCAGCCGCATTGCATTGATCAGAGTGATTTTTCCTGTGCGTTTGCAGGCCATCGAGACGAACCTGGTGCAGAAGTCTCCGGGTGGATTGACGTACGTGGCTGAGTGGCGGGGTGGCATCCTGGACCATAAGATGGGGCATCTGGCCTGTTTCTCCGGCGGGATGATTGGCATCGGCGCTGACGACGGCCCGGCAGGACAGAGGCAGCACTACCTGGACCTGGCCGCTGAAATCACTCACACCTGCCACGAGTCCTACAGCCGCTCAGGTCAGAAAGAGATCATCTGTGAACCGAACACAATAAACCGTGTGCATATCAATAGAAAGCATTTGCTTATGCTTCTGGTTCAGAGATAAACAGGATGAATGTCATGAAACCTGCTGAGATCATCAGGGTGTGATGATGGACGTCAAAACTAGACGTAGAGGCGTCAGAAAGTAGCCTAGACATCATATGTGACCCTGGAGCACAAAAGCAGTCTTAATATAACAGTTTTTTTCAGCTTCACGACACAGTGGGGCATATTATAGTTTTGAGATACCGTAGACTTGAAGTGCAACGCCTCACATAAAAATAAAAAAGAATAAATCAATCAATCTCATGATCATATTTAACTACAAAATCAAAAGGAATAAATTAAGAAATGATATTTTGCATTAAAAATTAGGACCATTACGATTATATACAATTTTTTCTCATAAAATTTTCATTACCATAATTAATTCACATTATTTTCAAATTAGAGTCACGTTATTTTAATACAGTGCACTTTTCTACTGCAGTAGATCATGTAATCCATACATAATGAAACGACAGTGTTATTTTATGAGATACCATTATAGTTTTTTAATGCTTTTATTTTTAGATATTTTGTCATTTTGTTGTGTTTTGTCATTTTTAGTGTTTATATATATATATAAATATATATATATATACTGTATATAGCTTGGGTTATATTTTCAGTTTAGTTTAAGTCTTCGTAAGTTTATTATGTGCTTTTGTCATTTTTATCAACTTTTTTTACATTTCTATATAGCATTACTTTATTTTTAAGGTTTAGTTTAATTTTACTTTTTTTGTACAACAACTTGGTGTTTTTTAGTTTATTATTTTTATTATTTTACTTTTTTAGTACATCAAGTTAAACTAAATTATATGTATATTATTATATCTTACATTTTAGCTAATTATATTTTTTATATTTTATTTGACTTCAGTTAACGATTATTTTATTTCAAGTAATGAAAATGTTTTTTAATGGTTTTAATTTTAATTTTCAGTCTTAGTTAATTATAATAGCCATGGTACAACAAATACTATGAAGTATAAATACGTCAAAATTGAAATAATATTTAAATTATAATACTTTTTTCATATTAATATCTTTTTTTTTTTTTTTTTGCATTTTGGAAATGAGGATTTGGGGGTGAAAATATCTGTGCTTCATTTTCTTGTTATATATAATTCCTCATTTGTCTCTTTAGATTTTGGTATAAAATCTGACCCGGCATGTTCTCAGCAGGTTTCATTCATCTGTTGTTCATCAGCTCTGGATTTTATTTTAAGAGAGACGTGAGGTCAGAAATGTAGAGATGAGATCAAACATGATGTTTGCTAAATCTGTAGCGTTTGGATTGTCCTGATGAGAGCGCTGTGAAGAACTGTGCGCTGTGTGCTATTTCTGATCTGAAGCAGGTTAGGCTTCATCTCATCTGTTTGCTTCTGCCGTCTGAGAAAGCAACAGTCTGAGGCTGTGATTATCCAGCGAAGCATGAGGACAAAGAGAAGACAAAGGGATGTTTCTGGGGAAGCTGCCTTTCAGCTATTTAATAAGAGTCAAATCACTTACCAACTAAACTTCCGTTTGATCAGTGTTATTTTATCATTATTTATATACTGTTACATAATTTATTAATATGGTAACACTGTATTTTAAGGACCAATTCTCACTATTAACTAGTTGTTTATTAGCATGCATATTTCTAGCATATTGGCTGTTTATAAGTTCCTACCTTATTTTGCATGACCATATTTTAGATCCCCATACCTAAACTTAACAACTGCCTTACTAACTATTAATAAGCAACCAATTAGGAGTTTGAGGCAAAAGGCATAGTTAATATAGTCAGAATTAGTCCTTAAACTAAAGTGTGACCATTTATATTTATATTAGTTTTTATTATTATATTTTCAGTTTAGTTTTAGTAAATTTATATGCTTTTGCAATTTGTATTATTTTTTATTTCTATATAGCTTGAATTTATTTTAAAGTTTTAGTATTGTTACTAGTTCAAATTAAACTTATTTCAGTTAGTTTGCAATTAAACATTTCTAATTTTCATTAACATTTTTAAATGAAATTTTAAGTCTTTCATCTAACATACATACATATATTATTATTTTTATTATTATTTTAGTTGACTAACAACACTGTGACATGAATTTAAATCAAATTATTGTTATACTTTGTACTGTCTCCTTAATGTAAATTAAGTTTAATAATATAAATTGTAGGACAGAGCATTGTTATCGTTAACTAAAACTAAACCTATCATTTTTTTTTATTATTCTAAGCATTAACTGAAATAAATAAAATAAATAAATAAATAAAAGCAAACTTTTTTTATTTCTGTTAGTTTCCAAGCAAATGTTTCTAATTTTTATTTAGTTTAAATACTAAAATTATTACAACAGAAATAAAAATAAATAAAAAGAAATATAAATATTAATTTAATACAAAAATAAATACAAACAAAAATAAACATTAACTGAAATTAAACAAAAATCTTATTTCAGTTAGCTGCAAATGCAACATACTTTTCGTTTAGCTGAAGTACTAAAATTACAAAAACTAAAATGGAAATAAAAAGTAAATAGAAATTAAAAAAAAAAAAAAAGAAAAAACTAAATTTCTTAAACGTTAACTAAAATTTGAATAAAAACAGAAAATATAAAAACAAAATTCAAATTATTTAAATTAACATTTTAAATTTTCATTATTTTAAGTACTAAAATTTGTAAAATTGAGGGAACATTTTAACAAAAAATATAAAAATGAAACAACAAAATGACTAAAACTTAAACTAAAATTAAAAAGGAAAATATAAAAATAAAAACAAATTCAAATGATTAATAAATACTGTAATGGTATTAATGATACTTATCTTATTTTAGCATGTATTTGAACGCATTTTCAGCATTTTAAAGAGTCGATTCAGATGCTGCACAGTTCATACTAGTTTAAATGATAAGTGGCTTATCCTACACTAGCTAACGCTGTGTTACTGTGTGAAATGTGACCCTGGAGCACAAAACCAGTCAATTTTTCGAAATTGAGATGTATGCATCATCTGAAAGCTGAATAAATAATCTTTCCATTGATGTATGGTTTGTTAGGATCGGACAATATTTGGTCGAGATACAGCTATTTGAAAATCTGGAATCTGAGGGTGCAAAAAAATCTAAATATTGAGAAAATCATCTTTAAAGTTGTTCAAATGAAGTTCTTAGCAATGCATATTACTAATCAAAAAATAAGTCTTGATATATTTACGGTAGGAAATTTACAAAATATCTTCACGGAACATAATCTTTACTTAATATCCTAATGATTTTTGGCATAAAAGAAAAATCTATAATTTTGACCCATACAATGTATTGTTGGCTATTGCTACAAATATCCCCCAGCGACTTAAACACGTTTGGAGAAACATCATGCTATAAATCGAGAAGTGTCATATTAATGTTGACAATAAACACTTCCCCATGGGAAAGTTTCTCTCACCGTAACAGACCGATAATCACCAAAAAACCACCACACTACACTTGAACACACAGCTGCGCTGCGGAAAATACTGTTCCATGCTGAAGTGGCATAATATTGCTAAAGAGACGGGGGATTGAGACAAAACCAACCAAAATCAGTATGCAAATTAAAATGTTTATTCAGACGAGAGTGCTTCTCCCGGACCGGGGCTGCTTGTAATTTTAGATTTTAGGGGCATAATGGGATACATTTGGGTTTGTTATGTTATGTTCTGCTTTGAAAGCATTGTGTTTTCATAAAGTTTGCTGGCGATCATTGTACACACAAACTACACACACGCTGTGTGTTTATGACCTCAGGTTTCTCCACGCTGTAAAAACACAAAGCTCAAAGCATCTGTTCAGTGGCGGCTTTGTTTTATCTGCTAGTATTTACACCAGCTGAGCAATCAGCATGAGGGGGATTAAAGACTTTTTCACTGCTTATAACCAGGGGTTAAATTGGGACTTGTTATGGGGGGGGTCACATGTACATACACTGCCTACAAAATCTTACATCAACTACAAGTTGAGAGAGCTTGAATTAGTAAGAGCGAGAAAGGTGTAAAAAAGAAAATATGGCCTAAATTGTTGAAAATGTACGAGGATAGTCCACTGATTAGAACCCTATGAAATCTATTTTATTTTTTTCATTAAAATTTTTTGTGGATTCCGTTTTTTTCCATTATAATTTTTTCTGTGCTCTGGTTTAATGGTTAAAGCATGTCTAATTAACCGAAATCACGAAACTTCTATAGGTTAACAGAAATGTATTAAAAGTTTAACAAAAGATTTTTAGGGCCCTATGAAATACATTTTACATTTTCTGGTTTAATTACATTTTAATAATCAAAGCTTAATATGTACTTTTAAGTATGTACTTTTTAGTATGTACTTTAATTTTCTGGTAATCAAATGTTGACATAAAACATTCATTTAATTAAACAATCCCTTTAGTGCTGCACAACAGAGGTTTACTGCTAAAATTAAAACAGAGAGGAACGTTTGTGTGATTATTCCTTAAAAATAAAGTTTTAATAAATGTTTTATTAGTAGTAGTAAGATGTACATTAGAGACCTGCACCTGCACCCACGGGACCCAACGCAACAGGGTGCGGCGCGGGGCAACTCTTGATGGGCGAGTGCGGGTGCGGGCGGGAAGACACTCGTGTGTGTGCGGGATGCGGGAGAATAAAATGATTCGCGTGACTCCCGCAAAATAGAAATTATCTAAATATAAAGTGTCTAAAACATTCACATTGTTATTTATCTGTTGTACAAAAGCAAAAAGAACAACTAATATTAACATTAAAATGATTGATATGTGCAAGCTAGGCATAGTTTCTATTTATAACACGTGTTTAAAGGGTAGCGCAATGTAGCCAATCACAGACTCAGCTGTTTTTTTTTCTAGAACGCAATGGCCAATCAGAGGTGATTAAGTTAGAATATACTCACCACAGTGCTGAAATTTGCGTGCTCACGAATCCTCTCATTTTAACACATGGGAAGTGTAGACATTGTGAAAGATTCATTGTGCATACATTTATTGTGTTATAACAGAGCTTTATGAGATCGCGTTTAACTGAGATGTCAGCTTTTAGTGATAATAAAGGAAGCGCTGCTCGCATTCTGCCATGCCAAACCATGCACGCAGCAGCACATGCTTGCTTTTCTGTTAAAAATAACAGTGGTTTCGCGCGGGTCTCTAATGTACATTTCTGTTACAGTTTCTTCAAGTTAAACCCAACTTTTATTTTGACGGGTTTCCACAAGGACCTTTAAGTTTCTGTGTGTATATTTAAGTGACCTACTTTCGATTTGTTCATCTAAAATTTGGCAAATTCCATTTGTATGACTGGATTTCCACCATATAAGAAAAAAATCATGCTTTGGCAAGTCATAATTATGACTATAAAAGTCAAATGTATATATGACTTTAAAAATATGACTTTGAAAGCTGAAACTACACAAACTAATTATGACATTTAAAAGTATTAAACAATATTATATAAATGGTAATTTGTTGCCTTTTTATCATATAATTTCAATTTAGTATGTCAAAATTTCAACATTTCATCTCATAATCATTATTATTATAAATTCATCATTATGACTTAATAAAGCATGATTATTTTTTTCTGACTTTGTGGAAACTTGCTTCCATGAATGTATTTTCTGCCCAGTGGTTTATTTAATCTTCCCAACCTGGCAACTCTTTCTACATTACGGAAAAAGCGCTCAAAAGTGCTAAAAAAAAAAGAGAAAAAAACACTGGCAAACATGTAAGTATCTCTATTGAGATATTAAGATTTAATAATCTCTATTAAGATTTCTGCTGTTTACTGCGACTAAATCTGTGCTTATGTGAAAGTGCAATAATTCTGATGAAATGTAAAAAAAAAAAAAAGACTAATTAATAATAGTGATTCTATTTTTTGAGCGAAATAATCTTGATAACCCATTTAACAATTATCAAACCCTACAACTTAATTAGAAAGCTGTGATGCAAACATAAAGTAAATTAGTAAACTCATTTCATTTAGATCATTCAGGCTGAAATGAATAGAAATTATCATTCTGTCTAAGGAAATATGAAGTTAATGTGTAAATATATCAATATTCCTCCAAATATGTGAGCTTTTGGACTGAGATCTCTGTGTTTAGTGAAGTGATGACATCTGAATGCAAATAATCCAGAGCAAATGTGACTGAATAAATATAAGGCTGTTTTTTACATTGCAGTGAAAGATTATGAAGACATTTTTCCCTTAAGAATAATGTGCAGTGATGAATCTTTCGTGATAAGACCAGTAACAGTCAGCTTTTATATCAACTTTAATGTTTTTTCTCTCAACAGCCACCAAACTTGGTCCGGAGGCGTTCCGCTTTGATGCAGGAGCCGAGGCCACAGCCACCCGACTGAGCGACCGCTACTACATCCTGAGGCCAGAGGTCATCGAGAGCTACATGTACATGTGGCGTTTGACCCACGACCCCAAGTACAGGGAGTGGGGCTGGGAGGCCGTGGAGGTGCGTGAGACTTACTGCACATGTACTCAACGTTTCAGCTCTATTTTTAGGTATATTTAGATTATTGGTCAACAAATGGGGGTTCTTCAAAGGCTGAAAGTGTTACCCGCAATCCTAAAAGTGTGAGTACAAATTGCCCGTAGTTTAGTAATCCTAAGTGCCGTATTATTTCAACCCTGTCAGATTCATATATTCACTATTGAAACAGATGGAGATAAACAAATAAAAATAGATATAATAAATTGATATCTTTAGGCCATGTTTGGTGGTTTATAATTGTTCTGATGATAGATGGATAGATGGATGGATGGATGGATGGAGGGATGGACGGAAAGACGGACGGATGGACGGATGGATAAACAGACAGATAGACGGATCGATAGATAGATGGATAGACAGACAGACAGACAGACAGACGGACGGACGGATACACAGACAGATAGACGGATAGATAGATAGATGGATAGACAGACAGACAGACGGACGGACGGATACACAGACAGATAGACGGATAGATAGATAGATGGATAGACAGACAGACAGACGGACGGACGGATACACAGACAGATAGACGGATAGATAGATAGATAGACAGACAGACAGAAAGACGGACGGACGGATGGATAAACAGACAGATAGATAGATAGACGGACGGACGGACGGACGGACGGATAAACAGACAGATAGACGGATAGATAGATAGATAGATAGATGGATAGACAGACAGACAGACGGACGGACGGATACACAGACAGATAGATGGATAGATAGATAGATAGACAGACAGACAGAAAGACGGACGGATGGATAAACAGACAGATAGATAGATAGACAGACGGACGGACGGACGGACGGATAAACAGACAGATAGACGGATAGATAGATAGATAGATGGATAGACAGACAGACAGACGGACGGACGGATACACAGACAGATAGACGGATAGATAGATAGATGGATAGACAGACAGACAGACGGACGGACGGATACACAGACAGATAGACGGATAGATAGATAGATGGATAGACAGACAGACAGACGGACGGACGGATACACAGACAGATAGACGGATAGATAGATAGATGGATAGACAGACAGA